ATCAACCTAGGAGAATGCATAATCCAAATGTTATTTGCCATTATTGCAATAGGGTAGGACATATAGCCCCGGTTTGTTTCACTAGGCATAGGCATTGCACTCAAAACCAATCACACTACCAACGTGCACCTAACGCCCAATGACCCAAAAGGAATTGGGTACCTAAAACTTTTTAAATTGGTTTGTAGGTGTGCTTGAAGGCATCAAGTGTACTTTGGTACCTTGATAGCGGATGCTCCAAGCACATAACCGGAGATGCATCCAAGGTTTTGCAAATCAAACCAACTAAAGGAGGAAACGTTGTCTTTGGCGATAATAGCAAAGGCAAGATAATCAGCATTGGTTCGGTTGGTAAAAACGAAAACTCCTCTATTGATAATGTTTTGTTGGTTAAGGGTCTTAAACACAATCTCTTGAGCATAAGTCAATTGTGTGACAAGGGAAATTGGGTGACCTTCGATTCCAAATCATGTACGGTAGAATGTCTTAGTGACGATAAGACGATTCTTCGTGGTGATAGAATTGATAACATTTACATGGTTAACTTAGATGAATCTCCCTCTGACTTTGCAAAATGTCTCATGAGTAAGGAGGACGATATGTGGCTATGGCATCGTAGAGTAGCTCATGTTAACATGAATCTTTTGAATAAATTGGTTTCACAAGACCTAGTAGTTGGGCTTCCAAAACTCAAGTTTGAGAAGGACACCATTTGTGATTCATGTCAAAAGGGCAAGCAAGTAAGGGCCTCATTTAAATCAAAGAATGTTGTGTCTACAACAAGGCCCCTACAACTTTTGCACATGGATCTCTTTGGACCATGAAGAACAAAAAGTTTTGGGGGAAACTATTTCGCCTTTGTGATTGTTGATGACTACTATCGATTCACATGGACATTGTTTCTAACTCATAAAAGTGAGGCATTTCATGTTTTCAAAATTTTTCTCAAAAAGGTTCAAAATGAAAAAGGCTTAACCACCGTAGCCATACGAAGCGATCATGGTGGAGAGTTCGAACGAGATCTCTTTACCGAGTTTTGTGACGAACTAGGAATCGAGCATAACTTCTCCGCTCCACGTACACCACAACAAAATGGCGTGGTGGAACGTAAAAATCGTTGCCTTGAGGAGATGGCTAGAACTATGCTTGATGAGGCAAAAATTCCTAAGTATTTTTGGGCGGATGCTGTGAGTACCGCGAGCTACGTGTTAAACCGAGCCATCATTAGACTGACACTCATGAAAACCCCATACGAACTATACAAAGGAAGAAAGCCAAACCTCTCCCATCTTCGAGTCTTTGGTTGCAAATTTTTTGTTCACAATAACAGAAAAGATAATTTGGGAAAATTTGATGCAAAGTCGGATGAAGGAATTTTTCTTGGTTATTCATTGCGTAGTAAGTCTTACAGAGTCTTTAACAAACGCACCTTAACCGTTGAGGAATCTCCTCATGTTGTCTTTGCCGAAAATGATGCTCGCTTGGCGAGAAAGGTTTCCTGTGATGATCTTATAGATTCGTTGGAAAACATCTATCTCAACGGCGATGACGAAGTAGACAACTCAAAGGAAAGCCAAGATGAAGAAGTAGAGCCACCCGTAAACGAGGAACAACTACAAGAGGAGGAAACGCCAATGCCAAGGGCATGGAGGACTTCAAAGAACCATCCTCTTGACAAGGTGATCGGTGACATCAACCAAAAAGTAAGTACTCGTAGCTCTCTTAGGGACACCGTAGGTCACATGGCTTTTGTTTCTCAAATTGAACCTACAACCATTTCGGAAGCAATTGATGATAAACATTGGACCTTGGCAATGCAAGAGGAGCTTAACCATATCAAACGAAATGACGTTTGGGAATTGGTGCCAAGACCCGATGATCATACCATAATTGGTACGAAATGGGTGTTCCGTAACAAACTCGATGAAAATGGAATAATCACTAGAAACAAAGCTAGGCTCGTACCTAAAGGCTACAATCAAGAAGAAGGCATTGATTTTGAAGAAACTTATGCACCGGTAGCAAGTTTAGAAGCTATTCGTTTATTACTCGCTTTTGCTTCATCTATGGATTTTAAGCTGTACCAAATGGATGTTAAGAGTGCCTTCCTCAATGGTTTTATTCAAGAGGAAGTGTATGTTGATCAACCCCCGGGCTTTGAGGATTTTGAGCACCCGGAGTATGTCTATAAACTAAAGAAAGCACTCTACGGTCTTAAACAAGCACCTCGTGCTTGGTATGAACGTTTGAGCAAATTTCTTTTGGACAACGGGTTCAAAATGGGGAAGGTTGACACTACACTTTTTATCAAGAGTAAAAACGATAACATCCTCTTGGTGCAAGTTTACGTAGATGACATTATATTCGGTGCTACTAACGAATCTTTGTGCAAGGAATTTTCAAACTTAATGACAAATGAATTTGAGATGTCCATGATGGGGGAACTCAATTTCTTCTTGGGGTTACAAGTCAAACAAATGAGGGAAGGGACCTTCATTTGTCAATCAAAGTATTGNTAAAGAGATTTGAAATGGATGGCTCCAAAGCAATGGCTACCCCAATGAGCACCTCCGAGCACTTGGAAAAAGATGAAAAGGGTAAGGAAGTAGACGTAAAGAAGTATCGAGGTATGATCGGATCCCTTCTTTATCTTACCGCTAGTAGACCCGATATCATGTTTAGCGTTTGTTTATGTGCAAGGTATCAATCTTGTCCGAAAGAATCGCATTTAACGGCGGTGAAGCGGAAAATGAAGTATCTTGTTGGTACAATGAACGTTGGATTATGGTACCCCAAGGGGTCTCCTTGTCATCTTTTTGGCTATTCCGACTCGGACTTTGCCGGTTGTAGATTAGACCGTAAGAGTACGAGTGGGACTTGTCACTTGCTTGGTAATTCTTTAGTCTCATGGTTTAGCAAGAAGCAAGTCAGTGTTGCGTTATCCACAACCGAAGCGGAATATGTTGCCGCCGGTAGTTGTTGTGCTCAAATCCTTTGGATGAAGCAACAACTTGTGGATTATGGCCTTAGTATCGATCACGTCCCTCTTCGATGTGATAATACTAGTGCCATAAGCTTGACGAAGAATCCGATTCTTCACTCAAGGACGAAACATATTGACATTAGGCATCATTTCATTAGAGATCATGTTCTCAAAGGTGATGTCGAAATTGAGTTCGTTGAAACACACAACCAATTAGCCGACATTTTCACAAAACCATTAGAGAAAGAGTCGTTCTTCTGCATTCGTAGTGAACTCGGAATCCTTGACTCCACGATGATCTAAGTTGTGCATTAATTATTATTTTTGGTCCTTACTAACTTGAATGTCGGAGACGTTTTTAATTCTTTTTTGCAGGGCTCTTTTTTAATTTTATTTTCAGGTGTCAAAGTCAGGGGGAACAAAGCAAATCGATTTTGTCTCCAGACTTGGTGTAAATCGATATAATCGACTATCATTGCCCGCAGAAGTTTGAAGCAAATCAGACGCAAACCACGACAATCGATTATACGTTTTGTGTAAATCGACTATCGCAGCCTGCAGTTCCTTCGGCGGAGAATCTGAAAACCTAGATAATCGATTTACAGGTTATGTAAATCGATTTACAATGGTAGATTTTCAAAAATCTTACCGTTTTCTAGCCGTTTGGAGAGCAATTAATGCCTGTTTGACCATCTCTACGAATCTCCAAGGCTTCTACTCTATAAATTGGTGATTTCTATTCATTTTATACTCACTCAAATCATACTTTCTCCATATATTCATCATAATTCATCATTCTTGCTCCTATTCTTCATTTTCTTTCCAAATTTCTTCAATTTTCTCTTTGCCATGCTCTGCCCCCTACTCTTTGTTGATATGGCAGGAGGTCAAAGAAAAAGATCCCGCACCCGCAAGAACGTTGCTTCTTCCTCGGCTCCTCCACCACCGGCGCACCAATACCTTGACGGGTCGTTCCTTTGGTTCAACGACCACGCAGAGGCGACGCGGTTCTCGGAGAAATTTGAGCACCGAGAGATTCTCCCTCCCCGATTCTCCACCGCTCGCTTCATTCATGACTCCATTCCACGTGAGGCACGGGTTATCCTCGAACGTGGAAACTTCCTCGACCTCCTCTACATCAAGAAGGTCAATTATCACCCCTTTCTTGTTCGAGCTTTCTACTCGAACTTGAAAAAGGATGAGGACGGAGCGTTGATCTCTAACATCAACGGGGTGGACATCTATTTGAATGAGGAAAACATTCAAATTCTCACAGGGCTTCGTCGGGACGGACCGGATCTCGGGCTCTACGTCGGAGAAGAAGGAGCGCGGTTCAATGAGACCGCTCTCTTGGAGGAAGTGGGCATCCGACACTTCGTCCCCACTCCCCAACAGCGGCGCCCTACGATTGCTTCTATGAGCCCCGTGTTTCGATTCATTTTTTATGTTTTGACACGGATTCTCAAGCCCAGGAAGTTCAATCACACCAAGAGGACACGAAGACAATTCATGCGATGATTCACAACGCCAATCTCAATTGGTGTAAATTTGTGATGACTCACATGTTCACCGCCACCTCCGACAATCGGCGGCTCCTCTACGCCCTCCTCGTCATGGCGATTCTTGAAGAGTATAACATCAAAACCGATGTTGGGCCAAAGCTAAAGGGGACAAAGCATTGGGAGATTGATGAATCCTCTTTCCACTCAGGCACCGACGAGACTCCGTTTCGACAGCCTCGTCCACGCCGCCAACCAAGAGCCACTACCTCAAATGGCAGCCTTGACCGCCACTCTCTCTCGGATTGACACCAACGTCTCCAAAATGGCACACAACGTCAATACCTTGAGCCGTGAACTTCACGGGTATTTTGACTTTGTCAATTACCTGTACGCTCAAATGGTTCCTTACGTTCCTCCACCGAATTTCGGAGGTGAACAAAGTGTTGGGAAACGAGGCTTGGATAACACAGCGAAAACAAAAAATTTATAGTCCAAAACTCGATTCCACCCAAGAACAACTAGGTAAATTACTAGCTATAGTAACAAATTTACCTTAACGGTGAAAACGAAGAACGGAGGAACGGTCGGGGATGGTTTTGAGGAGATGAACGTAGCGCCAAACGTATGAAGCCTCCAACGTATCCACACGAACTTGCTCCGGAGTCCAAGATTAAACTTGTGCTAGCAAGTTTAATATAGGATAGTAAAAACTATAATAATACTACTTTGGGAGTAATAAATATATAGTAAAATATTTATCTTATAAATATTTGTTTATAATATTTTGTGTATATTTCTAACACTTTAGAAAAATAACTTTGAACACAAAATAAAATTTTCTTCTCTCTCAAATTGGGATGGCCGAAAGTTGTGTGTATATTAAAAATCAAGACTTCATTTTATAATAAAGTATATTTAGGAAATTGCTAGGAAATTAATGTTAAGCATAAGTACATGCAAATGTCTTAACACCATGTGTAAATGTTTAATATCTTAGCTACCAAACAAAATAGAATCCCTACATCAAATAATAATCAAATATATCAATTTGACATTAAAAATACTTTGTGTATAAAATCAAAATGGTCTTGGATTTTTCCTCTTGAAATTTCGGTCATCCCATATTTGAAATATATCATATTTTATTTTTGACATCAATAATTATCATATAATTAAAATGATGAAAAATAAAATAATATATATA